TCCCTTCTACTCCTCCATGATTTTTTGGTGCAGAAGAAGCTTTACAGAGATAGAAGATTAAAAATGAAATCAGTTTTTTAAAATCTTTTTTAGTTTTTGGCGGGAGCGTTTGCCTTTTCGTAAAGATCATTAGTCAAAGCACTTCTGGGAGCGTATCAAACATCTTGACATGTGTCAATACGCACAGCCATATGTAATTGAGAATGCTGTCATTTTGGGGTTTTTTTTTTTTTTTTCAAAATAAAAGCCTATCTTTCCATGCAGCCAGAACGCTCCAGTGATGGGGAGCTCTGAAGTAGAGAGAAAAGAGCGCCCCCTGCCCCCTCCTCCTGTATTTGTGTGAGAACACTGAGTTTTACAAAAAAGTGGTACAGTACTGTGCCAGAGCTTTGTCAGTGTGGATGGGCAGACAGATGTGTCACATGTGCTTCACTACAGCCTTCTGTTGCATCTTAATCCCTTGTGCAGTGGAACAAACTTGGTGAACACTGTGTCCTCACCAGGGGGTTCATTTAGCGAGCTGTCAGAGGGTATAATGACCTCACTGGTGGCAAAACATACAGCACAGACCCGATGTGGATGCAGTGAACTAGGATTACTGCAAAAGATGCCGGTGACCTACTTTTTCTGTTGTTTAGTTTTTGATTTCTTTAATAAAAAATTTAGGGCAAAATCCCCCAGTGAGAGTCACTGTCTGTCAGTCTGTGGGTCCTCGTTTGGTTCAAGGTTCAGTTCAGTTCAAGTGCACTTGTTTTCCCCCAGATTTCTCCTTTTATTAAGATTTGAAAACTGAAACGCAGATTCTTTAAGTATGCTAACTAATTGTCTGAATGTAGTAGACTGTGGCTGGAAGCTCTTAGCAGTCTGCCCTCACTGTACGATCACCTTCTGTAGGCTCCATTCTTCTATCCCTGGGCGCCTGTGAAAGCCTGCTGACCTAGCCTCTTTCCTTAGATTTACAAATTCAGTGAAATGCTGGATCATTGCAGCAGGAAAGCAGTAGCGCTGGGAAAGAAAAGATTCAATTTCCTCAACAATGTGGTTGTGAGATGCAGCAAAATATAAAGCTGGTGACGATAACAGTCAAAGGAAAACGTTATATTCCCTGCATGATGGGTATTTTAATGAGGTGAGCAGTTTCACCTCTGGAGAACAGGTGCATGAAAGGCTTTGTTTGCACTTGCTTATCCAAAACCTTAATCTCAGTCTTACAATAAGCATTTCCCCTCCTCCTCAAAACAATGTAAGCATGACGAAGTAGCCAAAAAAAAAAAAACTACGAAACTCAAACTTAAAGAGGGAGTAGCTCACAAAGAACATCTAGTCCTACAGCTTAAATATTTAAGTCACTTTTGGTTTCATTACTTCCTGCTTGTTTTTGATTTGGGGTATTGTCACCTGGATACATTTAATTTAGTTCTTACTTAATTTGTGTACATTTTAGTCATTTACAATAAAACACTGTTTTGGGGAGAAAATAAGAGTAAAAAGTTAAAAAAGATTCTCAAAGATTATAACAGAAAAACAGAATTTGGGGAAAAAAATTACTATTACTTACAATTTACTACATACACTACATAAGTGCTACAGTTTTCTAAGTGGGCTGTCTGAATGAATGTAAGTCAATGCAGAGTCCTGATAGGAGGATCTGACAATATTGGTAACAGTAGATGTAGTGTGTGTGTGTGTGTGTGTGTGTGTGTTTTATCTTGATACAGTGTAGAGAGCACTGCTCTACACACTGTATTGTTTTACTTGTTTTGTACGCCTGTGTTCCTATTCTTTTTTAATAATATTTTTCTCATTAAAAGCAGATGTATTGCTGACACGGGTGTATCCATTGTCTTTCTCCACATACTTTACTAAATATTTGCAGCTTTGTGAGGTAAAAAAAAAAAAAAGGTTTTTCATATATAAAATGGAAGAGAGTTGTTGACTGTCTTTAATTAAGTCCTTCTGGGGACTGGAGCGTGACTGAGTGGAAAAGCCTTGGTTGTTTCTCGCTAATAGATTTTTTAAAAAGCAGTTACCTGCATGTTGTGATTAAATGCAGGCCGATGACATCAAAACAATTTAGACGGGGTGAGTGAGAACACATGGCTTCAGATGTGTTTGCAGGATCTCAGCTTACAGTACATGGGTCTACACAAGTTACTTGAGAATCCGACGATTACTGCACGGTTCAGGACAAATGCTTGAAAATTGTTTAAAAGTGTGATTCTTTTTTCCCCCATCTTTCCAATTTTCTGTGGACCTCCAGAGCCCACGAGCAGCGTCTCAGGGGGCTTCCAGCCCCCACTTTGAGAACCGCTGGTCTAAATAATTTCTGATTTACTTATATAATTACTCAGTATTACTTGTCAGGACGTTAGTATTAGGTTTCTATTTAATATTTCTATTTGGATTATATGTATAGTGGTGATTAAATTTATTTTTCTATATTCTATTTATATACATGCTAATATGGTTGAAAATTAGGGACTTTAGAATTTTATTTGTGGTAACAAAATACCATTTTGTGGAAATAATAGGATCAAAATATTCTATATTCTTATTCTTGTGGATGAAATTACAATAATTTCTCAGAAATGGGTGTAAATTGTGCACCAAACTAACGCATGACCATGAGCTTCACCGTAAGGAAGTTTTCACCTTAAGGTGGTGTGCTATTGTTATGACAGAGTTCTATTCTGTCCTATTATCCACCATTTGACTTGTAGTCAGTGGGAAAACACTGAAACGACCGGCCTGACCATATGATGGGAAATCTACTCATTATCGTTTCTTTGGTTCCTTTGAGGCCTTGAAAATCTATGTTTGCACATACTCCCTGTTTCTGAGTTTCTGTTCGGCCAGATAATCCCACAGGTGGCGATGATACTACTGAAGGCACTCGCCCCCACTCATATTCTTGTACGCACACACAAACGTATCCAGCTCACTATACACGTAACATGCACTAGCTTGCAAACGGGCCCTCTCGTACAGACAAGTGCTTGTGTTGCTCTCTGTAAGACCTGCGCCCCGGAGCTTCATTAACGCTTTGATAAAAACGTTTAATAAATTCTCCAATAAACTCTTCAAAACGAACAACGTTGTTCATTTTCTGTTTTATTCTTTATTCCACGGTGACTGTTGACAAAATTGCCAAAACACTGCACAAAAGTTGTGCAGTGTGAATACATGTAAAATGTATCATTTTAGTTTTAGGTGATGCTGCTTGGCTTTATCAAGCACTTTGGAGGTGCTACAAATATAGTATTGATTGATTAAAAACAAATTTATTTCCAGATAAGAAATATTTAGCATGAAAAGACAATTGCTGATAAACAGCACCCACACTGATCAGTTTGTTTCTATTTGTGTTTTGGTCAAGTACAGGAAAGTAGATTATACATTTTATGTGTGTACTTTTTATGTTGTCAGCCATGTCCATGTTCTGGACAAATCATTTATTCATTGTATTCTCTGCTTTTTATATCATTTATTGTTCTCCAGTGACTGAATCAAATATGAGTTTGGATTCATGTTTGTCTTTTTTCTGTGCTCTCTCAGCATAGGTTCCCTGGGAGCTGTTAAATGTGTCCCCGTGACAAACTTAGAGTGGCTGAAGGCATGAAGAAACACTGTGATGTCATAGTGGCTGGTCAATGACTCTAACCTTCATTCAACCCTTTCCACTATCCACCTGCCCTCTGTTCTCATCACACTGGACAATTAGTCACTCACTCTCACACCAACACGAAGCTGCACCATGGCCAGCAAGAGGAAATCCACTGTACCCTGCATGATACCATCCAAATCCAAACATGTGCGTGAGGAAATCATTCTCGGCTCGCTACCAGAACTCCTACCAACGATCCCAGAAGACAGCATTCTTAGCATCTCTGGAAAAGAGTCTGGTCATTACTCCCACAGCTCATCCAAATCCGAAGGCAACAGTGAAATTCAAAGAGGAGGTACGTACAGCTGTTCAAGTTGCCGCTTAGAATCCAGAGATCTCAACTACTTTTTGGATCACATGCACAACTATCACATAGACTTCAGGGCCCAGCCCACCTTCTACTGCCTAGATTGTAGAGTGTCTGTGGTTCGTTTTGAGGCTCTGGCTCTGCATAACGCCAATGCCCACCCCAAGATAATGGAAGGCTTGGTCACTGCCTCCCTAACGGTCAACACCAGGGACAGAGTAACAACCGTGGAACAAAGTCTGTTTGCTGACAACGGAGACGATTGCAGAGAGTCTGGAATCTCCCTGACCAAAACACCAATCGCAAAGATGAATAAAGGGAAGGGAGAGCCGAAAAAGTTTGTGGTTTCTCACACTGTGGAGGTACGTAAGATAGACACTGGAAAGGATGTAAACCCCAACATGCTGACACATGTGCCTGAACTCCTAAACGGGGCCCTCAGTGTCCCAGGTGCCCCAGCTATGCCGAGGAATACTGTCACTCATGTGATTACGACAGTTTCCAACCAAATGTTTCACCAGCACACTCCTTACTTTTCCTCTCACCCTTTCTCCAATTCCAATAAAGACCTTCCAAAGGTGATGATCCCCCTCAGCAGCATCCCCACCTACGATGCAGCTATGGACACCAGCAGCTTTCTCAAGACATCCTTTGGCAAGTTCCCCTACCCTACCAAAGCTGAACTCTGCTACCTAACGGTGGTTTCGGAGTTCCCTGAAGAGCAGATCAAACTTTGGTTTACTGCACAAAGGCTAAAGCAAGGCATAAGCTGGTCTCCTGAAGAAATTGAAGAGGCCAGAAGAAAGATGTTTAACACTGTGTTCCAGGGTGGAACACCTCAGAAGCAGCCTGCTGCACAACAGCACATCAGTCCTATTATAACCCATCACACTGTCACTGCCCCGCCTGGATCAAAAGGACCAAATTTCCAAATAGCCAAAGCTCCCTTTGGTAGTATGAAATCAAGGCCTATCGGAATGATGGGCACACATCCCAGTTTGTCAACCAACCCCCACGTCACCAGGGTCTCGTATTCCACTTCAGCCATCCCTGCAAGATTACCAACAGTAGTCAGAACGACACAGGTACTAAACCAGAACAATCAACCCACTTTGGAGACAGACAAGAGCAACGGCATTGGCCTAGACCTGGCTGCAAACAGTGGTTTTGTAAGTAGCACCAGCAGCAGTCAAAGCAACAGTAGCAGCAGTAGCAGCAGCAGCATTAGCAGCTATTCCAGCAGTATTAACAGCGGTGAAAACTTAGTGCAAAACAGCATCCTGATGAACAGCGTCAACAGCATCACAGCGTCCTGATGAACAGCGTCAACAGCATCACCACCTGCTCTGCCAGCATTAGCAATAATGATGGTGACAGCGTTGCTGACATGAATGGCAAACCACATGTAAAAAGCAAAAGCTTACCAATCAGACTGGAGCGATCAAACAGTTCAGAGAGTCACGTGATCTTCAACAACACCAGCAACTCTAGCAGCACCTGTAACAATCACGGCAGCGGCAGTCCACTGAAGCAGTCAAACACCAAAAAGCATGACGAGGAAAACAACAACAAGAACCACCACGTTCACAAGTTAAACAACAACAACAACAGCAGCAGCAGCAGCAGGAGCAGGAGCAGCTGCGAGTTCCCAAGTAACACCTGCAATGACAATGTCTCCAATCTGAACCATGCCAGCAAAGCCCCAACTGAAAGTGCCAGCACCACAGTAATAACACCGAACACCTCGTCTGCTGCAGAGGAGGGGGTGTGCAAGGACTTCCCCATTAAAGGTATGTCAATCTTAAAGCAACTAATCAAAGAGGGCGAGTCGGTGGTCGTGGAACGGCCTTGTCCAGAGCTGAAGGTGGACCCTATCAAATTTAACTTTAAGAGGCTGAAGATGAACGAATCAGACAACGCCATTGAGGGTCAACCTCAAGAACATAAGCCTGAGACAGCTGAAGTATCTGCCCCTCAACTGTCCTTCTTGCCGCTTTGGGGCAACAAGACCCCTCAGCAGTTGCACATGCTACGACAGGTATTCTCCAACATTCGCTGGCCTAGCAGTCAGCAGTACGAAGATCTCAGTGTCCAGACCGGCCTTCCCAAATCAGAGGTGGTGCGCTGGTTCAGCGACAGCAGGTACAGCCACAAGAACGGACAGCTGAAGTGGCTGGAGACCTACCAGCGACCCCCCACAGAGGTAGAGGAAGCAAGAGGCCACGGAGAGAACGAGGGTGGATCCCTGAGGGAGCCGCAGGCAGCCAATAACAAACTAGTGGAGATGGACATAAGAAAGCACCTTGAAGGAGATGCAGGACTGAACTCAGGGCAGCAGATCGTATGGCAGGATTCATACTCGCCGCTGCTAAGTCTGATGGGAAACGGAGGCAATGGGGAGCCAGGCCAAGCCAAGGAGTCAGTGCAGCCTAAAGTCTTGGAGGATCCCTGGTCAGGGAGAGCGAACGACCTCCGGCAGTCTGCTGCCAACCAACCACACCTTGAACAACAAACAGATGCCAACCAGACCAGGTACTGACCTCATGGGGGGTCAGGGCGGGGGGGTTGACGATTTACCTTAAACATGGAAATATTTCCATAAAGTTTATTTGATTCTCATTTAAACTCTCTTTTTTGCTTTCGCCTTCTTTACATTTACAACTTAAAATAAGATGAGCCAACCACCAGTACTATATTTTACCAACTAACTAAAGCTGCACCATGTGCCTCTCTGTCCTCTCACATTGAAGCTGCAGCCACCGACGCCACAGCTTTTTCTGCAGGGAATGCCTTTACAGTGTGTCCTTGGAATGGTTTCCTCACCTGCAGCTTCAGCCTGTTAATGCTGTTAGACCTACAGTAGACGATTCTCTTCTCACACTGCCTGTGTTTAACCAGTCCAGTTTGAGTCTGAATGTTAATGTTATGTGTGTGTCGTTGACAGGGATGGCCTGAGGATGGAGCTCCTGGAGGTGTGATGAAACAGCCTCCACCAATTTCACCAGAGGAACATGACATCCAGAGGTCGTTTCGCTCCCCTGGCCCTGGTCGGAAAAAAAAAAACAACAAACAAAAAAAAAATAAAGAATGGAGTGTTGATAATGACAGCAGATGTGATTGTAGCTGGACCGCTGGACTCTGACTGTAACTGTGAATACCCCTCACTCCTCTTTCTCCTCCTACTGCCTTTAGTTCCTGCCTCCGTCAGAAGAAAAAAAAAAACTTGTCACATTTGGGTTGTTGTTGTTGTTGTTGTTTTCAAATTAAAAGAAAGCCTTTCATGCTTCGCCATGCTTGTGTGGGGGAGGGCGCACAATGAAGTCAATGTAAGGGATCAAAGGAAAGAGAGAGCGAGAGGACGCACCTTGACTTGAATGGAACAAGTGACTTGAACGAAGAGGAGATTAGGATTAGGGCTGATTGTGTTGTATTTGGGTCGGAAAGAGAGAAAAGAAAACTTCCTTCGGGGATGAATCTGCACTATAAGATGGTTTGTACTGATTGGACATAAAAGAAGACGTGTTAAGGATATGTTTGTGTTGGCTTTGTGATTTTATTTTTTACTTTTTTAGCATCCAGTACTTCAGCACTGCCTTGAATTTGTATTTTTCCGTTATTTGCTTTTCTCCGATTTGATTACTCCTCTATCGTCACTGTAAGTCCAGATGCAATCGAAAACATGTTTTTACTCAGATCTGTGTTCATGTTGTGTCATGTCGTAGTTTGGCTACACGCAAGAGACTATATACTGTACAATGCACTAACAAAGGCAGCAATGCTTATTTAAAACCAACTCTCACACACACACACACACACTGCCCCACATTAAAGGTATTGACAGCTTTGTGGAGATGGATACACTACAATGCCCTGAGAGAAGCCTGTCACGCTAACGTTGCCTTACTCAGCTCTGTCCATGTGTTTTTATGAGCCGTCTGTCTGTCACCTCGCTTTCCAGCTACTGTGCTGTCCTTAAGAAAAAAAGTTAAAAAAACAAAAAAAGATACATGCCAGTGCATCAGTGGTTACTGTTGGTATATATCTGTGAAAAATGATCTCGTGCTGCTTTCTGTATTCTTGGAAATGTTTAAACTTTAAGCTATAATTGTGTTAAATATTAACTGTCAAAAAAGAAAAAAACATGGTTGAAAGCAAAATTAACAATTTGATTCGGAGACAACGACAGAGTGAAATATCGTGCTAGCTAGAGAGCCAAATATGGAGATCTCTGCTCTCCCGAGAATTTTCTTGTATTTGTACCAACCTACAGTCACTACATGAATCCTATGAAGCTGCATCTTTGTCAAGCTGCTAATAGCTAGGAACGGTGCTATACTATCCAAAGTGAAAATTGGAGAGCAGTCTCCTACCAGCAGTGTATGCACTTGTGTTCGAATGTTACAAATTTATTTTGGTTTCAAATACTACAGTAAATAGAATCTGGACTTACGGTGTTATGATCACTTAAATACAGACAAGAAACTCTTTTATGAAATACTCTGATCATAAAGCACTGTTGTATCATCCTTTCTACATTTCTGAATCTTTACAGAATAAAATAATCACCAAGTAACACCGCCTCGACCTTTTTTTATTTTTTATTTATTTATTTATTTTTTTACCGTAAGTGAAAAGCCAGGTGTTTCGTGAATACCGGACAAATGACTTAGTGTGTAGAACGTAAAGAAACAAGAACAGTAGTGGGATAATGGGTAGAACTACATGCAGCTCCTCCTGCCGGTGAGACACCGTAAGAACACGCCCAACTGACCGCAGAATAAACTACAATTCCGCTCAGAATAACACTGGACGACACGACAAGAAAATTGACTTGGGTTTTTTTGTGCCAATGTGGAGAATACTGAGTTTCTAATTAAATATTTTGTAGGCTCCGATAAAGGAAAACAATGAGGAGAATGTACTGTACACTGTATATGTATCTGCAATTTATTACCGTTCCGACTGTTTACATTTACAGTATTCTTGCTCATTTCGATGAAACCCAAGTTTGAGCTTCGTCTTAAATGTCGCAATGTAAATCGTCAAATATACTTTTGTTTTACATTTCCTAAGGACCGCTAACACGTGATCATCTTATGACTGGTCGGTTCATAATCAGCTATTATTCACAGATCATTTGAGGTGGTTTCCTCGGGCTCGGCTCCAGTGCTGACAGATTCGTTTAGTTCGAGGACGGGACACCGTTGGCAACAAACGTCACTTCCAAGGAAGCCTGGCTTCAGTGAATGTAGCAGGGGGCGTGTCCAGAAGCTTCACTTCTGTATGATGATTGGACAAGAAGCGAAACTTTTATTTATATTATTGAAAGAGCTCTTGGCAAACCAGTTTCTATTTGTATGTAGTATATAATTTGGATTCTTCTTGTTTTGGGTTTGTATGACTCTTGTTTTATAATTATAATAATAATTATTATTATTTTATCTTTATTATTATTATTATTATTATTATAAATAGAAGGCTGCCATTGATGGCCCACTTCAATATCTACATTGTACTGTTACAGACTGTTTATGTTTAATTGTGTTTTTCTTGGACACTGCAGGGTTCACTCTCACCAAGTGCTAACACAGAAGACTGGGATTTTTTTACTGTACGTAGTTAGTCAGAGGTCAGTGCTTCTAGCTATGTACAGTGAACATGGTATTGTTCTGTGTAGTATTATGTCCTGTACTAATCTATAACAGTTTGTGCAGCATAACTACTGAGCAGTAAAGGCTCTGGTCCTACCCTGTCTGTGCTGAGTGAAGGTCTTTAGGATGGGTTGTGCAGGGTCTGCAGCTCTGGTTTGAGAAATGTCTGGAAATAGTAAAAATAAATTCAAAATGAGTCTGTGATTATTAATACATGTGATCAACACTGACGTTTAAAGACAGAAATATAACAACCAGCGTCTGAAAACTATATGCATACGTGTAGATTCTGGAATTTTTAAATGAAGAAGAATTGATATTAAAAGATGTTTAGCTTTTTATTTAACTTTTTCAAGTTCAGTTGGATCATTAAGCAATGAAAAAGGTAAAAATTTTAATTTTTAAAATCTTTAAAATTTTTCAAAGTATTATTTCTTTATTAACAGTTATCAAGTTTTACCTTTTTAAATATATGAAAGGACAACTGCGTTCCAGCAGGAGAGTAGGTGATGGGTTGATAACATTTTTAATAATGATTCTACCTTGAGGACTTTTGGGGGTAGTGAACGTCAGATTAACTGGGTTAGGGGTTCCTGTAGCTGCTGCTGCAGCGGTCATCTGGTCATCAGTGTCAGTCCTCTCCCTCCAGCATCTGAAACACAGTCAACACCTCATTAATTATATTTGTAACTGAACATACATGATTTAATTCCATTTTTATTCAAATGTACAAGTGTTTTTTTTAATATATGGCATACATTGCAGATATTTAACAAAAATACAATTTTAAGTGCATAGTGCCAGTTTAGTACTGTGAAGGTGTTTAAATTCCTCCATTCACTGAATGATGGAGGCCCATGACGGCTGGTCTGGTCCTGGATTTTCTGGTCGGGGATTGTAGCCTGGTTGAATTCAGCTGGACTCTGACAGCCACACTCCTGCTGATGGTCGTCACCTGCTCTGCCCCTGCTGGTTACCGGAGATACCTCCCTGCCTTCGTTTCATACTAGAGTCTGTGGTCAGTGAAAACATGTCCACAAACACAACTGTTTCTGCACCATCATGAGAGTGGCAACAATGATATGATACTCTGTTGTCGACAAGATTAAAGTTGAAAACACACAACGGATGCTAACGTTACTGAAACAGTGGAGATGTTTACGTTTATCCAGGTGGAGAGCGAACTGGACTAAAGTAAAACACACACCTGCAGTGTTGTTTAAGAACAGTTTCCCAGAGAAAATGAACCATGTTAGGCGAAAATGGAACATAACTTGGCAGAACACTGCTATGACAGTCTAAAAGAACCCGTAATGTTCTGTTCTTACCTTAACGCAGTTCATCACTTAGCAAAGAAAAGTCCGTGACAAGTTAAGTTTTACGAGTTCATTAACGCGCCGCGGAGCAACTTCCGTGGTCTTTCTCCAAAATAAAAGATTCAATGAGTTCTAAAAAGTCTAAAAAATAAAACACCAGTCAACAACAGGGTCAGAAATGGTACTCTTACTGTGCTTTTTAAATCAGTTACACCTGCAATGATACTCAAAAGGGTGCAATGACGAAGGTAAGATTACCGTATTTTCTGGACTATAAGCTGCACCCACTAATTTAAAAATATATATATATAAATTTACACATAAGCCGCACCGGGCTATAAGCCGCCAATATCCAGGTTGAGGAATGACATATTTACCAACACATTTCGACACGCAGCGTCGGTAAACAGCTTTACGCTAAGAATTCTATCGCAGAATTCTTTGCAGGGCTGCGGTGGAGCTGGAGACGATCCCACAGGTGAACAGTCGAGGGTGGGTTTACATCCTGGACAGGTCTACAGTCCATCGAAGATTACTGTCGTTGTTGTGGTCGTTCACCACTCCACGTTGCACTCTAATATTTTCTAATATTAGAACTTATTTCCAGTAATAGAATTCTTGTCACCCCGTTGCTTATAATACAAAGAGCAAAGAAAAACGAGAAAAAAAATTCAATTTGTGATCTTTGAGAAGAAAAAAAAGACAGTCAAGACAAATGCTATTGACGAAAAATTCTTCAGAATTTCTGACAAATATATTAAAGAGGTGGGGGAAAACAGCTCACTGTTGTCTGTGACATTTGTCAAAAAAAAAACCAAAACATTGTAGCTGAAAACGAATAAAAACGTCAGCCAAGACAGCTCAAAGTTAGCAGGCAGTTAAAAGCAATGAAAGAAGTGCTAAAATTAGCACTTCTTTCATTGCTAGAAGAGGGCAGAAACTCACTAAAAAGAATTAAAGTGAAAAGTGGAAGAAATAGTGTGTAGTGTTTGCTGTAAACCAAGTTTCAGTCCTGTTTAGTGTCTTTATATTCAGATATAATACGCTGTAAACCAAGTTTCAGTCCTATTTAGTGTCTTTATATTCAGATATAATACATATACATACACAAACACATGTACACATACAGAGGAGACTGATTAAAAACAGTTGAGCTCCTTTGCAAAATGACTGATTTCTGTCCGTTTTTGGCATCTCTAATTTCTTTGTACAGTAAAATGAAGTTGATTGGACAGTTGTTAAGTATTAATATGAAACTACTGTATATGCAGGGTTATTTGTTTGTTGTGATTGGCTCACATGATGAATGCTGGGACATTTGAGTTTCTAATTTGGTGGATTAATGCTAAACATTGTGCTAGTGAACCTTGACAAATGGAACATTGTATTTAAACAAAACACTGAGGAGAAGGGGGCGCTACATGCTCTGTACCTATAAAGAGTCAGCTGGACTGCTTTTGAAAAACTCATGATAGTTTCTTTAATTTTTCAAACCAGTCAGAGACAACCATGTATTTGTAGGATTTTATTAATTGTTCAACCTACAATGAGCATTTAACTCAAAAGTATGATCAAAGGCTATGACAAAGGTCAAACAGGAACAGGATGTTGACTTTACAGCTACTTACATCAACTTTCCTATTATACGTTGTAAAGTGGAATAAATGAATTCACATTAATGTTACATTATTTTCCGTAGTCTTTACACCATCTCAAAACAAATGGTAGAAATTGTAACAGAATGGTGAATTTTTTTTTTTTTTTTGGCAAAGTTCATGTCCCTCACAGAGCCCTATTGGAAGCAAAAAACACTTAATTTAGATACGTTAAATACATTTCATAGCATTATTTCAAGTAACAGGTAAAAAGGGTTTCTTTTCTTGGAAAAAAATTGTTTAAATTAAGTTAAAACCTGATGTGGACGGGGCTACGCAGAGATTTAGAGGGCCTTTGATAATCCATTGGATACTGATGATTGGTTCACATTTACACCAAAATAAAAAAAAAAAAAATTCCCTGATAGAGGATATAAAACAATGTATTCACATTCTGCTTGCTGGAGTAAATATGGACATGGATGCAGTTTCTCTCTCCTCTGCTCAGTCATCCTTTCTGTGCCCAACGTTTCATACACAGTCCAGTTTTAAAATGCTCACCTAAAAGAGATGCTCCCCCAGTGGAGGCCCTCAAACACACAAATGCACTCGCACACTTTAAAAGTCAGGCTCGCCTTACCTCAGAGGGGGGGTTGGGCGGTCTTAAGCCAATCCATTTGATTCAACTTTGTCTATTAAAATATAGAATTCATCAATAATACATGGCAGGGATAAAATGCAGAGCGAATGATCAAAGAAAACGATACAAAGCATTATTTCTCCATTTTTCTCATTCCAGTAGCTGTGGGACCACAGGGTGAACGTTCTTGCTCTCAAAGGGCAGAAGGGCAAAGGACAATAGATTTCATAATTTCCTGCCAGTCAGCTTTTGCCTTCGAACAGCTGTGGGTATGCAGGTCAGCCATAATATCTGACTTTAGATCAGATGTATGTTACCCATAACCCCCTGCTACCACTTTATGACAGCCTCATCCAATCTTACCATGTCGCTGCTGCGATTCTGCTCAGGTTTGATCAAACTCTGACCAGATCTGACCACGGAGCAAAATTAAAAACAAATAAAATCAGTTGAGCTAAAAAAATAGTGTATCAAGTTAAAAACACAGACTGGGATTTTAAAACTCATAGTCTTCATCTGCCATGTCAATGGCCCAGGCAAACTTCTCACGCTGGGTTTTATTGTAGATCTTTTCGACGGGAATGCCGTTTTTCTTGCACCTGCAACACAAGAGTTAAGCAACACAAAATTGTCAGTTTTGTTGTCATTTCGCTATCGAGATTTATTATATATACCATCATTCCTTAATACTGTTTGATGTGTCTGGTGGTTCCACGACAAATTCTATGAAATTTCAGACATCTTTTACATTTAATCCTTCAATCAAATTAAAGAAGAGAGCAATCCAGATATGAAAAGGCAATTAATTAAGCTTCTTTTGATTGATATATGTCTCTCTGATGTGTCTAAAAAGATCATTTCTACTTATTGATCCTATTTAGTTTAAAAAGTACAAAGGGCAACACAAGCCAGGTCATTTGAATAGTAGCTCCTAAGCCAAAATAATGTGGCCTCTATCTAACACCTGAGCAACAGACTACAAACAGAGAAAAAGCTGTGCTTTACCAGGCCACAGAGATGCGGGGGTCCAGATAGTTGAGCTTGGACGTTCCAAGGGCAATCTGCTTGTTCTCCTCACGGTCTGTTGCCTGAACCTCCAGCTTCATCAGTTGCTCTTCTATCCTCTGAACGGCTTTCTTCTTCGTCTCCACGGCCCTAATCAACCAAGCCAGCAAATAAACGTTTGACAAATCGTATCAGGACTTAAATTAATTCTCTACACTTCTTTTTTTTTTTTGATACCCACTTTCTGGATTTTTCATCTTTTCGTATTTTGGCATCTGCTTTCGCACTCTTCAGTTCTCTTCTGGCATCAGAAAGCTGGTCCCTTTTAGCATCAATCTGCACAAAAAGTCACATATGATGTCACTTAATGTTTGGACTAAGAAAATCGAGTAAAAACTGAAATATTTTTTCCTTTAGCCTGAATAACAATTTGATAAAAACTTAAAATGTTTTATAGTTGTCTTTTTTTTTATGGAATGAAAGCATGTCTCTTCCATTACAAAAACAACATCAATCAACTCTTATTACCTTGGTCTGCAGATTCTGCATAGACTTTTCAAAGGTTTTAGGTGGAGCCCTCTGGTGGTTACACAGGATGGCCACAGCTCTGTTGGCTCTGTTGTAGGACAGAATCTTTGCTGGAACGTTTTCATCCGCTAGAAGCAAAAATTGAAACATTTTATTAGATTAACAATGGGGGTGATGGGGGGGCACAGAACCAAGTCAACTCTCAGAAGTAAAGACACAGTTTATTGAGACGTATAAGATGGTCAATACGCACCATTTGTGAGCTCCTTCAACTGCTGCTGCAGAGTGATGGAGGCGTTGTAAGTACGGAACACTTTGGCTGTCAGTCCATCCATGAGCTCCTGGAGGTGCTTGTTCAGAATAGAGGTCTGGAGGGAAATGGCAAGTGTTGTTTGTGTTAGGAGAACTGTCCAGAAAACAATGCACTGCACAGTCTGCTGCTCAGAAATAAACTGTTAAATCATTTTTTAAAGATTACAATGGGCTTACATTAAGACGATCAAACAGATCATCGTCAGGTTCCTTGTTCTCCATGAACAACTGAAGGTTCTTAAATACCTGAAGAGAAAAAAAAAACGTAAACACAAGCAAAAGCGACACAGACATTAGAAGGATAAACATTTTAAAAACACTTACCCTTTTCTCAACAGGAACTTTGTTGTAGTAACGAATGGAGTCTTTACCGAGGAAGTCGAATTCCACTACATACTCCTGACCCTCATTCTCTGGATGAAGATTGATGTGCTCCACTCTCAGGGAGCAGCAGCCCACAGTGTCTGCCGTCTCTCCTTCCTCCTTTTCATTGCCTGCTCTCAGAGCCAGCTAGTACACATCAGGACAGAGGGGTTTAGCGTAGCTAATAAAAACATGCATCACTCTCTAGGCAATATCTTAGCCTCACTACCTAAAACAATTACAATATTTTATAACCACGATCAAGTTATATATACAGTCCAAGTCATTGTGTACTTGTTTCTAGTGTCTGAATTTCAATTAGTGGGAGGCCAGTGTTCCAGTTTGTTATAGGCTGTTACACAGTATTAGGAGCTCAAAGCACTGTCAGGGGAAATAAAGCAGTAAATATGTGCTGTTCTGATGAAGTTAGCAAAATTCAACTCCAAGAGTTCCATTAACTCGAAAGCTAAAACAGGAAGCTTTAACGGACATGTTGACCAATGTTTAAAAAAATAATTTGGTAATTCAAACATTCTCAAATCTTAGAGAAATGTCATTGTTGGACATGGTTTGTGGAGCTATGTGATTGATTACAGCATGTGTGTAAAGGCCACCTCCTCACCTTGTCAATGAAGTAGAGTGCCACAGCCCTTTGTCTAATCTTCATTTCCTTGGATTTGAAGTCCTCACGGTACTGGTTCCTGATACGGTCCACACATTTTTTCAGTCTACGGGCGGTCTCATATTTCTGCCAGTCCTTTTCACCCTGCAAACAGCACAGAAGGAAAATAAAATTCAACTTTAATTTACAGTTTGTTTATGAAATAATAAATATCATCAATGTGCACCAAAACACAAGAACAGAAGAAGCCTTAACGTCATCAAGAGGGAACTAAGATTTATCAGCAGTAACTTAGCAGTGATTTTAATGCCAGTTAAGGCCTTGTTGTAAAAACAAAACAAAACAAACAGAACCCCACCTTGATCCTGGAGCTCGGGTTGAGCATGATGTACTTGATGGAGCCTTGTATGTTTTCCGTCCACGACACCAGCCAGGTCACCTTGTTGTCATGACGAACTTCTTTCCACTTTGTGCCTGGAGGTGGCTCCGGATACTTTGAGTCTCTGCGTGTAGAAAAGATTGTTTTGAGAGATTGTACATACACACTGACTTGGTTTAACAATGACATGCAGGACTGTGTCTCACTTGCTGCAGTTGATGATGATGTCTTGAGGTCTAATGCGGCGTTTCAGCATGCCCATTTTAGGATGGTCTCCACGGCCACGGAATAATCCCGGAGGTTCAATGCGGAAGTTAGCAATACGCTCTTTATGGTTGTCCATAATGCAGAAGCCATACTCTTGCAAGATGCGTTCATTTTCCGCTTTAATTTTCTACATGGAAAAACAATGTCATTCTAATCTGTTACAGCATTACACAAGTGAAATTCCACTGCACCGTCACAGTGAAGGTTTTTTTGGTTTTAATATGCAACTGGGACTATTTCTTCTTCAGAGCCTGTTGCCAATTATGGTTGACTTCTGCGCAGAGCCACGTTACTGCCCATTTTATTAAGTGATTATGACTATTGGTTAAATCAAATATAAACTATTACCATGAGCCAATCAGAGGTATGGGTACAATAGAAAACATGCAAAACGAAAAAAAGAAAAAAACATCCTCCCAGGGGATGTCAACCTGAATATGTTGTTCAACTATTTCTGGTAAATATTCTCAGTTCCACATTCCTATTTTATTTACGTCTGTCTTCCCCACTGGCTGTTGCCTTGAGCTGCAAACCTTAAATCTGGATCTACTGTCTATGTTTTTTCCTATTAAAAAGGGAAATGTTATTTACTCTTGTTGCCAAAGTATGCACTTAATTCTTAACCTTTAGGATTTTTGGACGTAAGAGTTTTTTAGGTGGTAATATTTTCATATAATGTCACGACTGCAAGGTCCATGAGACAAACAGTGTTTGGGAATTTGAACTGTAAAATACAAAAGCTAATGTTTTTATGTTGGGTTACAAAAGTACTACAGAGTATTAACCAAAGAGCTTACCAGCTTCTCCTCCTTGGACATTGCCTTTCTGGCTTCAGACTGTGCCTTAAAATATTCTGACATTTCAGTGAAGTTACATTTTTTCAGGTCTGTTATCTTTGCCTTTTCATCTGTAGACATTTCCTGCACACAAAAACAAACAGACAAACATGACTTAATAAACAGGACACTGAAAGACCAGAGCACTGAACTAAAGCAAGTGCTGTATCTGTACCTTCCTCCAATCTTTAAAAAAGTTTTTGCGAAAAATATCCTTGGTGGTGTACTCGTGGTCCAGCATCTTTGCAAAGAAAGTCGCCACTTCTTCAGCTTCTGGACTTAGCTTCATTGGCTTACCTATTGTTCAAAAGTTGATCAGCAACTGGGATTTTCATTTCAGACTTGACCCATTCTTTAAACTCACCATCATAATAAAATTTGACATGGCTAGGCAGAGGTTCATATTGTGGAGCAAACACTGGTCCTTTGTGTTCCAGAAACTTCCATTTGACACCATCAGTGTATCTCTCCTCTTCCCACCTGGAATTACAAGACAAACTTAACTTAAAACTTTGTCCAACAAGTAAACAAGTGCATGCCCATGTGATAGATTTTAACATGTAGGTAAGTCAGAAGATGAGTCACCATTTCCATTTATCCTCTGGTTCATTCTTTGCCTTTTTCTTTCCTTCAGTCACTTCACCTTTTTTGTTTTTTGTCTTCTTTGACTTTGTGTCCTGTGAACAGAGGAAAACAAAGTAACTGTAAGCAAGTTTAAACAGAGTCGACATTGGAGAAAGCCAAAGACCATGTTTTATTGAGATACCTCTTCTAGTTTCCTTTTCTTGGGCTTCTTGTCATTTTGAGTTTTGATTTTCTTCGGCTTAATGTCATAGCTAAAAATAAAATTGAAACAAAAGAGGTGTTAACCACAATAACAAACAAAATCAACAACTTAATGACTGTTGGCATCAATCACTTACTCTACATCGTCATCGCGTTCTCGTTTTAGAGACTTCTCATGTTTAGGAGGAAGGTAAAAGTCGTCTTCAGGCTCAGACTTCACATGTTGAGGGCTGCAATAAAATTCAGAAATGGCTTCAAAATAAATCCTCCACATGAAAAGAACATAACAACACAGGGGGAAGTGATGACACAAACCTTGCAAAGCCATTTTCTTTTTTCACCTTTCCGTCTTCCAATTTAATCTGAAAGGATGCACAAATGAAGTAAGTGTCCACCATGTGCAACAAAAAACAAACAAATCCTGTGCTTGGAGCTCCATCTATTGGACAATGAAATAACTTCGACAGGTTAAGAGGTACTTAACAGGTTTTAAAGCTTGAATTTGAACTCTTACTTCCATTTTTGAAGACAGGGTGTAAGATTTAAGAACAGGGACAGTTCTGTAGATGCTTAGCTTAAGTTTTATAAGACATTATTTTAAAAGTAATGGATACAAATTTTTGATTTCAGTACACAGACCATTGTTATTCTTATCTAAGTTAGTGTTTGCCAATCTGGCAGTATAATAAACTTGCAGGTTTCAAACTGGAGAACCAACCATATAAGTTTGAGCAAGAGTCAGACATAGAACAAGAAGATGCCCTAAAAAGCCAAGAGCCAACACTGAACCAGTGGTTACATAGCAGTTGCTTATAAGTGATGCTAAGGGCTGATCTTTGCACTGGAGTGGTGAAATTGGGAGCTAACCAGTGAGGGGCTGAATTATAATAGTTGCACATTCTTGCCTTATTATTATTATACATAATTGAAACAAATGTGTTTATCAAAATAAATAATTAGATAATTAGCATGTGTCCTCTTTAACACCAGACAATTAAAATAAATTCCAAGTGTTCTACGAATGAACTTTATCGAAAGCTAAGTTAAACTGTAACCAACTGCTTTCAATACTTCAAACCTTACGTACATGATTACACAGTTCAACATAAAGTATTTGAAAACTGAAGACACACAACATGCCCCACACCTTATCTTCAACAAAATAAGTCACCTTTTCTTCCTTCCTCTTCTCTTTGTGCTTGTCCTTGTATTTGTCTGCACTGCCATCTTTGTGCTTCATCTTGTCCTTCTCCCTTTCCTTGTCTTTGTGTTTGTGATCACTAAAATTAAAAAAATAAATAAATTAGAAACATCTTCAGAAAAGTGGTAATGAAGTCAAAGTAAATGTCAAATAAGTAAAACTGTACAACCGTGATTTAAAAAAAAAGTTTTAAGCCATATGTACTACTGTAACAACAACAACAACTGTCCACTTGGCATGTGAATGCACAGAACATTTGCTCAATCTTCTTCTGGTGGACATAAAACCAATTGCAGCGCATCGCTGCACAAGAAAATGTATACAGTTCTTTTTTTTGAAGAACATTTTAGGGAAATCGGTCCAAATTGCAAACATCACCAGATAAGAAGAATATTTAGACTTTGATTAAAAAAAACTTGAACATAAACATTTGGTATCTTTTAACAAGATGAGTCACTGTCTTTTTTTAGAGGGGAAAAGCCTGCCTTTACTTTTTGCCAAATCAGCATGTTGAAGTCATGTAGGCAGAGCAGAGGAAACATGACAGAACAAGACACAGAAGTGGTGCAGCAAACCACCAGTCTAAAAAAGATACAGATAACTGTCACCCACTGAAAAGCGTTTGACAACCTCCACTCATCTGCCGAGCTTCAGTCAGTCTGCCACTGGGGCAATGTGTGAGAGAGACCAACCTGTTGCCATGCTTGGATCTATCCCGTTCCTTATCTTTCTTGTGGTCCTTATGTTTATGTTCCTTCTCTTTGTACTTGTCTTTATGCTTGTGGGAGTCTGAAAAAACAAAACAGTATTACCATCTTAAAACAAACACACATAGACAAGTACAATACAAAAATAGACTGTTTTTCATAGCTTTATTATTCCTTTATACACATAGGTTCAAGAAGTGTCCTAATACTCACAACCTACAATTCTGTCAAACAGACTGTAAACATTAAATATAATCCGTAGTACGACACCACCTCCTACCTACACTGTGGAACCACTAAAAAAAAAAGAAAAGCTGCCACTGGATGTGTCATTTATTTGCATCACCCACAGCCAACACACTAAGGTTTGCAGAAAGGGCAAGACCTGGAAATTTACAGACAGAGGATCTTAGGTCGATTAAAAAATGTGTTATGTTATTGACAGTTATTTGTTCTCTCTCTCTCTGTGTGTGTGTGTGTGTATTTGTTATTTAGTTTATCATAGAGATGTTTTATTAATATAGAAATAACACTTTTGTACACTTCTAGTGGAACAGCATTATCGTTGGTGACTGATTACTTTTTACCTATATTTGTCACTTTAACACTGTCAGTTGAACATCATTAAAGCAATTCAGTTTTTTTTTGCTCTTGAGAACTATGCCAGGAAAAATTAAAACACTGCCATAGAGCAAAGCTTTGCCAAGCTCTGGTGGTTTTTGTATATCAGCTTGCTAAGCCGCAAATACATGATATAGCATATCCAAACATAAAATTGAAATACTTTATATATCTGATGCCTGATTAAGCCATTTAAAATTAGATAGGATATCCTGTGCATGCCTAGTGTTATATTGGTGTCATAACTCTTCAGGAAATGGCGGGAAAAAAAGTTCATCACACTGAGGATACCAAGCATTATTATTATTATATTATTTTCTTCTCATCAACAAAAGGATTCTTCAAAATGTATTGTGTACTAAACAAATAATTCAGGCATTTTCATATTAGAAAACATCAATAAAACTAAGGACAAAAAACATAATCTTCAATTAAATTTTTCTCTGAATGATTAACCCAAACTCCCAATTTGATAGTAAGCAGAACTGTCACACCATTTTTGGATTCCAATCAAGACAAAAAAAATAATCTTCAATTAAATTTTCAATAATGTTCTGAAGACAACATTAAATGCATAGATTGAATTGCACCACCTGAACATTAAAATAAAAAAATGGAAAGCTAGAAGATTTATTATTGAGTGCCGTATTTGTCCAATAGTGGGGAAATTGACAGTGTTTTATTGATCGCACACTGGGGAATTCTTGTGTTAAAAGCAGATCTACTGAAACAGTCGGACCCTTGGAGGCGCCATGAAGTACATGGTTGCAACTTACAGGCTGCTACAAGAAAGGCAGATTTGGGGATATGTGGTTCCTTTGGGATTCAAATGCAGAAATCAAATAAATATTTATATATACATACTCATATAAATATATTAAGTGGGAAATTTGTCTCCTTATTCCTTAAGTATAAAACTATGCTTTGTGTTATCAATAAACTATACAGGGTCAACACTTTGATTAAAGCCTAAAACGTTGAGCCTAATATCTGGTACTAAATTACTAAACATGTGGGCATACGCAAGTATAGTTTAAATTAAAGGGGAAATTGTTTGACTTGTTCTGCCATACATGGTACAACTTTAAAGTTTTTAAACAGAGCTCTTTTAAATGATCATCCATTTTAGCCAAGCAAAGATATACAAAGTCCCATTGACATAGTGTTCATGATTTAGATGCTTCAGATATCCAGGAAGAGGGATGCCCAAAGGGAGTGCTGGTAGAAGACAATAGAATACAAAAAATACAATATGAATATAATTCTGTAGTTTGTAGTTGTGATTTTATACTGCAATTACTATCTTGTACCATATATGTAGATGCATTAAGTATATGTTGGGATATACAGTATCCCAACATATACTGTATATATACAGTACATTCAGTTTAAATGAGTGAATTTATATTTAACCATTTTAACATATGTAGATCACTTAGGCCTGATCAACTGAATAGTAGCTCCCAAACTAGTGTAGGCACCCCTGTCCTAGAACAATTAGCCATCCCTATCAATAGCAAAGCTGCTGTCATTTTTCTGAAATGCCAACATGTTTTAGGCAACACTCTGTTGAAACACAACAGGGCCATTTCAGGCCTGATGGTGGAAAAAAATATATAAAATTAATTTACAGTCCAACACCAGTGTGAGGTTTTGGGTTTTTTTTTTAACATTAAAATACACTTTGTTCAATGAGCATTACATAACTCAGTAGCAGAAGAGTAGGAACTGAACATATACAACAATGTGTAAAGTCTACTATTTTATATTTGCCACCTGAAAGATGTCGTGAGTAAGCGTTACCACAGCAGTAGCTGACATGTTAGCTAAAGAGTCAAAGACCAAGGCAGCAAATTATGTTATATTATGAAGTCTATTTGCATAGACACATGGTTAGTTTCTTTGACGCATCAACATTCAAATGAATGACCAGTCGAACACTAAGAAACCAAAACTGCAGCAAACAATGTTTGTGATCTGAATAAATCTTTGAAAAGATCTAGTATCATGGTTTTTTGTACGGATGGAAGGCTGGAACAAGGACATTTCCAATTATTCAACTTCTGTCATCTTCAAACATTCCTTTGCATTTTCTGAATATTGTAGATGTCACTAAATGTGTGAAAATAACAGCATAACATATTTGGTCCATAAACTGGAAATTCAGTTTGCGACAGGGAGCAAACCAACCAGAACACATTAGACACGCAACTAAGAATTTAGCTTCAAATTATGGTGGAGTTCTGTCTACAGATAAAGCATACATATTAAAAGTACGCTACACAGTTAGTAAAGGGGTAGGTTTAGTGTTCAAAACATGCAGACAAGGGTAACAGTTGTTGTTGTTGTTCTGAAGTTGTTATAAAATACAAACGTTTTCCAAAAGGGTTGTCATCTCAAGCGTTTTAAGTCTTTTACAGTGGACCACAGCAGTCACACCAAGTAACTTTCTTTATTGACCCAGTCTGCATATTGTCTTGTAGTCTTAAGACCAAGACAGAAACTACAGAATTAGGCACATTTTAACCAAAAACAACTTCAATCATGCAGCAAATTTACTTTTGCAGTTTACTTGAGTTTTACAAAGTTTACATTTCGCCATCTTCAATCAAAACTAGGCAATTTTAAGACAACCTTGCTCCACATTTTATCTTCTCATTTGGACAGTAATAGTAATTGAATTATGTGAGATCCAGTGGTGCTAGGTGCACTGTCCATTTCCCAGTCATAAATAGGTAAATGAAAAACAGCTTGCAAGCTAAAGACAAATACAGAGAACAAATCATCTATTAACTTGTAAACACACTAGAAATTACTTAGGCGTATTTATATTCTTAGAGAAACATTCTTAGAGAAACAAAAGACTCCATATATATTGGTAGGGGAAGCTTCAGAAATGTTTTGATTCTTCCAAACTTCACATTTTAGATTTTGAGCAGTGTTATAACTAAGAGTGGGATCTTTAAAAAAAACAATAGTGTGTTTTTAATCATTTCTCCTATGGTGTATTGATGCTGAATCAGTGCTGCCCCAATTAAAAAAAAATTCAAACCAAGATTATGAAGTAACAAAAATGATGCCGGGATTAAGTATTCTCTTGATGACTACCTAGCAATGATCATAATAAAGCCTGTGCCCTCGCTATTCTCCTGCGTTCAGCCATCTGCACTTCACTGTCTAAGTTCAGCCTTCAGCAGCAGCAGCAGTCAGGCCGCTACACGAAAAAGAAAATGGCGCAGAGACTAAGTCCTCAACCCCCAAACCCTCACTTTCAGGGAGGAAATACGGTACATAAAGCATGAAAACAAATACAACCAATACGGAAAACTGAAAAAACACCTCAAGGTGTGTACAACTAAAGGTCCCAATGTTCAAAATAATATAAGGAAAGACCTATACAAGACCTCCTTTTTGAACAATAGGCGCTTGTGAGTGAGACAGAGGACTTAGTCTCTGGACGCCATTTCTGCTCTTTACTGAGAACTAACGCAACTACCCGGTTGCTCAACAAAAACACACAGAATTCAGTGAGAATACTTGTTTAAACTCTATATCTGAACATAGTAGACTTACCATTGACCCGGGAGCCACAATCAATCTGGAAAATAAAAAGACAAATTAGTGTTAACACAACGGTGCCGCTAACTAGCCGGCTAACGAACTTCAAACTTGCTGAACAGCACAACGACACCTGGCTAGTTAGCTTTTGAGGTAAACTAAAGGGCTAATGTGAATGGAAAAACAGGCATAGCGGCTAACGGCTAACGCCGGCTAATGCTAATATCCATGTAGCGTTTCTCCACTTTGTCTTTGGGTCTAGCAAACCTCAAAGCTAACATGACTGCAAATTTATCGCAAATTTCCTTGCAAAATATAGGTTACTGCTATTAATAACAAAAATGAAATGTGGGCTAGTGACAAGCTGTCCTGTCAAAACCAAACAATTTTACCACACGATGTCAAACTGTCCGTTAATCAGCTGCAGAAGCGGTGGTGACATTTAAAAAAAAACGGCAATCAACTTTACCTGATCCTCGTTGTGGGAATGGTCCCCACTCATTTCCACAGCGTTTATTGATTAAAAACACAACAGATGAACAACGTGGAGGGTTAGGGAGTCGGACTATGTCAGACAGTACACACCGGCGAGTGGATGCAAGCAGAGTGAAGAAGAAAAGCCACGGCAATGTCTCATTTTAGACCATTGCGCCTGCGCGTCAATTTAAATGGTACAGAATGGCGTGGCTCCTCCTCCTTAGAAAACGTGTTGCTTTGCTGTGCTCATTTCACCATACAGACAGTGAGTGACTGTACAGGCATTACGGTTATAATTAAAGTTCCACTTATATGAGGCCTTACAATATTTTAGCAAGGAATTTAACCACATTTATAATTTCTAAGCATAATAACTTTGTAACTAATCCCACTAACTATAAACAGCTAACTTAGTATATTTTATGGTCTACATGTTGTGAAAGTAATGTAAAATATTTTACAGATACCTTTCTACACTCTCTGTACAGCCCATATAGAAGTAGGCTTTCTGCACGGTGGTATTGTTAGATTATCAAATTAACCTTGTATTGTAATGCTAACTTGTGAAAACCGACAATGATCCTATAAGAATGAACAAGGGTGGTGTAGTTAGGGTTTTTTAAGCAACAATATTTGACTTCACCGCTTGATGGTGGTACTCTCAACACTGCCGACGTTAAAGAAACTTACGTTATTCTATTTTGCTTACGAAAAACAAAGTTCTATATTTGATTAACTAAGCACTTTAATGTCCAGAGATAAAAGTCTTGGAAATTATCTGCTTACAGTCATTTCTCCAAGGGTGTGAAAAACATTTTTTAAAATATATTTCTTGAGGTATATTATACACTGTATACAGTATATTATTCTTTACTTCAACGAGAACTCGGTAAGCTTGTAGATCTGTAGAGGCAGCTGACAGCTACTGACAGGCCCCGGGCAAAATTTAGCATTGGCAGGTAGGGCAAAAATGTGGTCATTGTGAGAGTTTGTGATTTGAAGTGGCTCACAGCTAAGTCCCAAAACAACCATTTGTTTGTCAATTTAAAATATATTACTTAATTTGTCTGACAAACTGCCAGATTTGCCTGTTCATTAGGTTAACAATTGCACCTGAATTTATTGCATGCCTCCTCTAAAGAATTTTACTATAACAGAGCAATGTACAATACTTTGAGTTTGTATAAAAAATGCGATGATATTTTTGAACATACAAGTTACTTTATACGATCTTCCAATTATACCCAACACTCTGAGGGCAACAACAGTCCTGATGTTGCCCTCTGGAAAAAACAAAAACCTATATATTCAAGAAATCATGTTTATCCACACGGGGGCGTTGTTGGCCTTTGTTTGCGCAGTATAGCTTCCTCAGCCTTAGCATATAGTAGCTCTACTGTAGCTTGTTAGATGAAAGAACTTGAAGCCCAATGTAAAAATGAACTACAACTTCTAAAACTATGATTAAATCGTTTGAGACTTAGCACAATCTTGTTTAAACTTAAAGTTTCAAGGTTGTGCTTAAAAATATCGCATGCATATTAATGAAAATAATTATCTCTCTAAGTTAACTGGAGATAATTAACATGGCATTCAGGGAAAACTTAAAGACATTATGTGTAACTTTGGTCTTCATTGTGGCCTTATTGTTTATTTTGGTTTTATAACTATAGTGATATATAACTAGATATACCAGTTCAAGGGAGTGGTGCTTTGGCCCAGAGGCAATGTCTCTGTCATTGATGTGGAACCCCCAGGGTTCACCTCCTGGGCTAGTTCAAATCCTGGTTAGGGCAGTTGGTACCTTCCAGTAGACTCACAGGGGGTACAGAGGATACGGTACATTGCAGTGCAATATGGGTGGCGACTGCTGCCCCTGTGACCCGGTATAAGTGAATGAAAATGGATAGATGGATCGATCAAGGCCTTACTCTGCTACAGGACATTAATGGTCTACTGCCACAGGGTGACTGCACTTTTGTTCATAGTATTCCAGTGGCATCTAAGACAGTGGTCCTGAAAGGAGAGGCAGTCCTCTCCATGGGGAAGAGAGGTTATTACAGGAGTAGTTCTACATGTTAAAATGGAATTCTAATTGATAAAACTGGAAGATGAGATCCAGACTCATCACTCAACATTGGTCTTTACTCAGTATCTCAAAATCGACCAAAATCTGATGTCTAATAGTCTAGAGTAGTGGTCATCAAACTTTTTATCCTCTGTACCACCTGAGAAAACATTGAGCTCTGAGTACCACCATGATGACCAACATTGGAATATAGCAGCAGAGGCCTTCTCTGTTAGCCTCCACCACAGGAGAGATGTTTAGAAATGTTTAGAAAGACGTTTGATTAAATGTTGTATTAACTGTGCATGGTATGTTTCAGATTTATTCAATTATAAACGTAAATGTGAAAATATTTACCACTAGAGAGCGCTCACGTACGTACCACAGTTTGAGAACCACTGGTCTTGAGTAGTGCTTCCCGAACCCTAGACTTGTCAAATGTTACCTCGTAAAAAGACATTTAAAACCACACACTGTATGTAAATCACATTTGTATCATATTTTTTTAAAACTTTAATTTAGATTTTAAAATATACAGTTACCGGTGAAGTTAAAAATAAGCACAATTTCCCTAGAATACTTAAATATAAATAATAGCTGAAATAAAACAGGAAGTCAGTGAAAGAGTAAAGTAGGCAATGATTAGGAGTACAGTGCAAGTCATACAAAACTTACTGCTCATTCTTTGATTCCTCTAGTATCAACATCAGCACATCAATCAATGTCACCTTTCTGAGCTGCAATGACAGGCTTAAGGTCAAAAGTGATCCCTGCTTCAGTGACTTCTATCCCCCACGTCAGCTCCTGCTGCTATTTGGAGGTAAAAAAAAAAAACCAAAACAACCAAAACCAAAAAAACAGCACAACGTGTTGCTGAGAGAGCAGTGTTATTAGGGCAGTGTTGTCAGAACACAGTGTTCTCATTTATATTTCTGGCACCTGATGGTTTGGCTGGCAAAGTGGCCCAGCTGGGTTCTCATATAAAAACATGTAGGAGTCACACAGCAGCCTGCGCATGAGTTCTGGGACCTGCGAGAGACTGCTTCGAGTCAGTTCCTCCACTGGCAGGTGCAGGAAGTCGCCCACCTCAGGACAGGCCTGGATCTCAGGAATGTTATAACCATTGTGATCGTCACCTGCGAAAAAAGAAATGTGGCCTTCGGATCAGACAACAGCTTCAGGCTGAGATAAAGAGCAGAGCCTCAAGTCAGAGTCTCCACCTTATCTGCTGCTGTCAAGGCAGCATTGTCAGCAAGTAAAGCAGTCATGTTTATCCACTTCACCCAAAATCAAAACAACACCGCGTTTGCACGAACATCAGATTAAGATAAAGCAACAAAGTTATTTTCACAGCTGCTTTGACATCATTAAACTGTACAGAGCAGGCAACGGGCAGTAGGCAGTAAAATGCATTGATCAATTGTTCTGATACTGGTGATATTCAATGGTATTTTGTTAATGTTGACTTTGGTTTTTTTTATTAAGTACGAATAAGCTGATTTCAAATATTGATTTCAAACAACTTTTTCAGCTAAAAAGTTTAAATGTCAGTGGAAACTGGAATAGCCACAGAAAACCCACACACAGGTGGTGTTTCTGTGGTGATCCATACTGGGAACCAATAATCTTCCTGTTGTGAAGGCGAGCGTGCTAAAAACATTTAAAGTACATTATAAAAGAAACCACAGCAAAGTAAATCGTGCTTTTGATCATTCCCAACTAGACCATAATATAGTTACTACCCTATGGAGCAGCATTAGCCTGTATCTGCCAACACCTACTATTGCAATACTACATTCTTATTTGCACGTCTGTATACTGTGCGTTTCAGTATTTCAACTGTACTGCTTTATGCTTGACTTTATTATCAACAATGTTTCACTGAATCTTAAGAAATGTCAAAGAAGATGAAACAAACCAGGAGTCTCACTCACCACATCTGTCTGCCATACTGTCAAAGAAGAGCCAGGCGTGAGGATCAGAGCCATATTTGACAAATGAAACATAGTGACTGGTGTGAATGCAGAGAACAGCAAACAGCTGCATGGTGTGTCTGGGCACAGGGGCGACCGAGGCCGCGTTGAGCGAAACCTCCAGAGCTTTAGGGGAGTGGCTCTGTCGTGTGTGATGACTGTGAACCTGGTTTAAAAAAAAACAAAAAAAACACAGAGATAGTACAGTCACAACAAGTGTGGTTACTGGTAAAACTGATGAAGTGTGATGACAATGAGATATACCTGTGTGTTGCAGGTAGAGCAGTACTGTTTGATTCTTCCCGGCTGCAGTTTGCGGTCTGACAGACACTGAAGACACTCGTACTGAGCCAGATGACCACAGATGAAGCATTCCCTCGGCGCTGTTTGGGCACAACAAAGTGTCAATGAAGAAAGCTGGCCGGGTCAGGAGCAGATAGATGGCATGTAAAGGTCATAAAGGCTAAATGCTAAAATAAAAGTCTTTTCTACGTCAACTATGGACAAATGTAGGCATTGCAGGGAAAAGGTTGAAGCATTAATTAGGAATTAGTAGAAATTAATAACATAATCTGGACACGTTTAGTGGGCCAGATTAAAAAGCCAAATGGGCCGCATCCGGCCCCCAGGCCATAGTTTGCATTTCTGATCTGACAAATACACAATTGTGTAAATGTAATGTAAATGTCCAGACTGACTGCTCCTCACAGTTGTACAGTAGATCAGTGATGTCCAGCTCAGTGGAGGGAATGATGTGAGGAAACATTTTATACGCATTTCCAAACCTTGGCATCTGGACAATTAAAAAGGACGGCACCTGTGGGACAACACAAAGGACAAGAAATGGCTAGACGTGCTGAACATGAGGATACAACAAAATTATGCCTTCAGGAATACGGCCACTCACGTCCTCAAACTTCAGTTCCCCCGACATGCAGGATGTGTCCAGGAGCTGTTGGACAGTGGGCACCTGTTCCATCTGGTCTTTTTCCAGAAGGATCTGCAGAGTGTAGGCACCGTGAGACGCCTCACGTTTGGTTCTAAAAAAAAAAACAATAGTATACAGCAGCTATGTGAATGAGTGCATTAAATTGTCTATTGCTTCAAAATGACAACAATGGATCAACAGCTAGTGCTCAGATGTAATATTTTAATTCTGTATGGACATTTTGCAATAAATGTCCAATGTCATTTCTATGATGGCTTTTCCAACTTGTACCTATTTTTTTTTTAAAACAAAAATATTTATCTTTAGGTTCATTTAAATTATCATTGAGTTGACTTTTAAGCATTGAACCATTTAATTTCTCCATCTCAACTAGGGAATGTGTTACTCAGGGCCGAATGCGAGCTTAGCTCAAACAATGACATTTCGTAAGAAAGATTTTATCACCTAACGTTTCCTACCTGAGCTTCAGCAGCGGCTCCAGGCTAAGCACCTTTTGGAAAAGGACTGTGATGAACTCCTCTGGATCTGTCAAAACAATCCATAAGAGAAGGTTGGGGTTTAAAAATACTCTTTCTACTTTGTAACTTTGTAATCCATATCCATATCAATTTAAATACTAACAAAATGTCAAAATGAGTACAGATTAGCAAATTAATCTAAATTTAAAAGCACTCCAAAATTAGCTAACCGCTAACAAAGTAAGCAAAGTATCTCAGGAATAAAAGTGTCTCAGAAATAAATCTTAATATGATGATGTATTTATTACATAAGTATATATATATATAAATGTATCACAGCCAAGCTGCTTGCGAAAATCCATCACACTTTCAGCTGGAACAAATCCTTGCCTGTAATGAATGAACACACACACACACACACACACAAACAAACACACAGGAGTAAAAAAAAAGTAAAAAAAAACCCTGAATGGAAGAGCTGTATACACCACAATCAAGACACACCTAGTAGTGTCAGAGTTTCATAAACTGGTGGACTTTCATCACTATGTTGTAAATACACATTCCCATAAAATAAAGACAGAAACTGCATGTTTACCCATGGAGAAGATTTGCAATGTCAGGCTGTTCTTAGTGTTCAAAGATAAGAAGAGAAAAAAATAATCATGGTGCCAGTGAGAGGGTGTTTTTACCGGCGTAAGCGGTTGATTATTTTCTTGAGCGTGCAGGTTATGGGTTGTTCTGTGTCAGCAGACTGTTGGCAGATATTATCCAGGGTCACTGATGAGCTGAACAAACTGGGGAAGAAGGACAAAAACTGAAAACAGTTTGTCATTATGATTGTATTAATATATCTTAATATCTTTAAAAAAAAAAAAACTTTCAGATCATCCGAGTTTAAAACCAACTGAGTGAGAGTGTGTTGCCAGGGAATTTAGAAGAAAAAAAAAACCCAGGGATGATTCACAAACTGGTTTTACCTGAAAAGAGTGGCATCTAGATAACAGGAGTTGATGTGGCCCTGAATCCCCTTCATACGTCCCACTAGCAGAGACAGCGCTTCAGACTCAGGGATTGGAGAAACGTTGTCCTCAGATTCTTCATATGGTGGAACTGAAAAAAACAAAAACAAAAAAAACATACAAATAGACTTAAAATTTTGTAGGGGACATTACAGACATATTTTAGGACTAATGTCTCCCAACGTAGATTTTTTAAAAGATAACATGAACTGTTTTTAGCATTATATAAGCTTTGACAAAGATCATAACTGTGGATAAATACTCTCATTATGAGTTTGAAATGGTTAAAATATTGGTTTCTAGCAAAAAGACTAAATTCCTAAAAAAAAACTATTGTATTTATTTACTATGGGCCAAGCTGATGATCAGAGGTTCAGTTTTCAAACCTTCCTGTATGGTGCTGCCGGTGGTAGACTTGGTGTACTACAATTTAAACCTTTTTTCCATTTCATGTAAATACAAGTGTAAAAATACATCCTTGATTTTAAATAAGAATAGTATGGACATTGATTTGGTGCTTAAAGCTGCCCACTGTTCACTTTGGTGATGGGTTAAATCAGAGGTCACAGTTGGTTGTGTGCAGTGGTGAGCTGTGTCCCAATGACAAGGAGTTCACTTTCCTCCTGTATGTAATGCGTGAACAGGTTCTAACCTGGGGGCATCTCGATGCGTAGTTTGGGAGTTTCTCTTCCTGTTGATGAGTAGACGAACCTGCCATCAGGGCTGCACTTGGTCACAGGAACAAACAGTGCTCTGTTCCCTTTGCAAGTGAAATATCTCAGGCCTTCACGTTTTCCATCGCTACAACCGTTTACGTCATAGTCCTGAAACATTTGAAACGTTTAGTTTCCGGCGTACTGAATCAAACCTGGAATATATTTAACAAAGTCAATGGGGGAAAAAAAGCAATAGAAAATGGAAATTAGTATCTCACCAATTCTATTCCAGCCCATTTCTCTGTCTTTCCTGGTAGGACCCCCATCCATCGAATGACCCCATATACCGTGATCCCTGTGCTGGACACCACCTCCACCATGGATCCCACCTCCAGAGGTACAGGAGATGTTCCCAGATAGTGGCTGAGAACGGGACGCTGCAGTTCAGTGCTGTGGCTTTGACGTTGCTGTGAAGATGATCCGATATTTGGCATAGAGTTTATGCGCGTCACTGCTTTTCTGCCCTGACCTGTGTGGAGAGTCACATGATGGTCACAAAGTCATATGACATTCTTCTCTAACTTGTGGCATGCGTGCTCCTGTGATCGACCTTTGCTGACAGATCCAGCCTTAAATGTACGCAGACATCACCTGAAGCACAAATATGCCAGACCATGTGACGAATGACATGTTCCTCATTCTTTGACAGCAGGACTGGTTTTACTGGATGTTCTCTACCACTGATGCATCTGTGTCTCATTAGAAGTCACAGGTTGTCACAGTCGCAGTTTGATGTCAAATCACTTTCTTTGGCTAGTCAGTTGGAGTGGCCTGGACTTCCTTTTGTACCTTGCTTTGGTGATGTGCAGGTTCAGAATTTATGAGTAGTAAGTAACAAGTAGTAGTAACTACTGGGGCAGTGGTGGCTCAGTGGTTAAGGAAGTGGACTTGGGTCCAGAAGGCTTCAGGTTAAAGCTGCCCACTGTTCACTTTGGTGATGGGTTAAAGCAGAGGTCACATCAGGTTGTGTGCAGTGGTGTGCTGTGTCACAGTGACAAGGAGTTCACTTTACTTTCCTTTTCCTAACTTTGACTAGTAAAACGTCTTACCCTGACATTGGCCATCTTTCCACTGTAGTCCAAGTGGAACAGAGTAGGATGGGACCACCTGAATGATGTCTGCCGCACTGAACAAGGGCGAAGACGTGGGTTTCTTTGACGACAGATTGTGATCACTGTCCTGTCGTGAAAAAGACAAATGCGTTAGTGTGCAAAAGACAATGGCGGAAATCTAGTGGCTCACTAAACCATCCATCTCTACTCACTACAAACTCCACTTCAAAGCCCAGCATGTACAGGTTGTCTTTGTTCTCTTTCCTCCCAATTTGCATGAGGTTTTTCACCAGACCAGGCATGTGGCCCTTCTTGTGTCTCACCACCACCAGATCGTTGGGCGACAGATCACAGATAGCTGAAAACAGCTGCGGGTTACACAACAGCTCCAGTCGTTTACTTGCAGAGGAGATGAAGAGCAGGAGCTGGGCCTGGTGACAGGTTAAGGGGTAAGTGTCCTCTCGCCTCACCACACCACCGCTCTTGGGAGTCACAGCGTTGCTGCCGGAGCAGTACAGCAGCCCCATCACCTCGCCGTTCGGCAGTTCTGTTTCCACTCGGCCAATGCATCCTCGGCTGAATCCTTTCCTGGTCTTCCCACGGATGACGATGAAATAGTTACTCTTCATGACAGTTCTGGGCTCCATTGGAAGCCACTGAAGGAGCTTGTTGAATATTTTCTGCAGCTTGTAGTTTTTTTTAGGTTGAACTTAACCTAGAAAAGACATAAGTTATGTTACCCTCCAAGCCTTCAGTGAGTGCTGCGTGTACAACGATGACATAAGTACAGCTGTCACCTGATCTGAATGCAAGAAGTTAGTCAAATTTAAGGGATGAAAGACTGCTTGTCTCTCCACTGTCTGATCCAGCAGAGGGCGCTTGATCAAGCCCCAGCCATACTTGTAATTGTTCAACATGGGCCAAAATGACCCTTCAGTGGACACAGTGTCCCTCTCCTCCATCTTTATCTAGCCCTGGTATAAATGTCAAATCCCAGGTGAAGACATCAACATCTCAATGACAACACCACGGCATGATACAAGTTTGTTTTGATTATTTATTATTATGGTATATATTATTTTTTATGTTGCTTTATACGTGTATTTATATTTTATTAACATACCTAAACATGGGCTCTGCACCTATTTGTTCAACTTTGATTAGTTAAGGAAAATGAGGCAGCCAAGGTTGCTGATGTGAACTTTCTAAAATATCTCCAGGATCACTGCCACTAATGACACCACCACTGCTGGAGGCCAGATATGCTGCTCTTCTGTAAAAACACTCCCTGTTGGGTGGTATCCGTAGTCTGCAGTCTACGACAGGCAGATAATTTGAGATTATTTGACTGCCCAATCACGTTGACACGTTGAAAAATGTGGTAGATGCCCAAACACAGTTAGTTTCATTACTGACCAAATAAGAATGACATTTTGATGTGGTTGAAAGGGGCTGATTATGCTGCACACAGACCTAAAAATATACCTAGAAAGAAAGTAATAGAAAGTAATCAGAATAGTTCTTAAGAATGAGCGACAGCCGTAAAGAGAACTCAAACCACATAGAATGTCAGTTGCCTGGGGCATCACTTTTTTCATCAGTAGAAACATTTAAAAAATGTATAAACGCAATTAATGAAATATTTTGGATTAGACTGATGTTTGTCGATCCCAACAATTCATTAGAAAACTGACATGGAGCAATCACAACATGTGGAACGTAAACCTTGTTTTAATTTTTGCCAACTATTCTTAATAACAATGTACTAAGTACTGTAGGCCTACTTACAAAGTGGGAGACTGTCAAAAATTAAAATACAAAAGTTTTACCGCTTTTAAAGTTGCAGGCAATGCAAACGGGAATTGACTTGACACCGTTAAGTTCCGCCCAATCAGAATCAAGTGTTGTCCCTAAACTTTCCCTCATTTTAAATGTCACTGTGTTTTGACCTTCAGGCCCTCTGTACACTTTGGTGTCTTTTTTAATGTCCAAACTGACTCAAGCACCTTGTAAAATAAAACACAAACAGTCGTTGTGTTAAAAACGGTGGGGTTTTTTTTTTTAAACGCAATTACCTGGAATTTTTTTATCCAAATGATACATTATTATTTGAACCAACGATGAAAACAGTTTGAATATTCCTGCATTAAACACATGAGGTGGTAAAGATATCAAATTAAAAGTCCTGAAACACCTCACTGCAGTATCACAACGATGCCCTGCACCTGTTTAAACAAACACACACACACACACAGGGCAAACAGAAAGTGTGGTAACACTAATAAAAGTACTCACGGTTGATGAGTCTCTACAGCTCGGACCTGGACCTGCACCTGCACCTGGACCTGACACACACATCCAGAATGACACTCCTCGACTTCTACACCACTCTGTCCAGACCAAGGTGGAGTCTGGTTTTAAAACCTCAGCCCAACATGTGACCCAACTACACCCGGTGTCTCCGCCCTCGAGCTGACTCTTAAAGAGACATATCGTCGTAATTTTGTATTTATTTTTTTATGGCAAAATAGTTGGACTTTTATTGTCTGTTGGTGGATTTGTTCTTGTAACTTTTTCAACAACTGCACTTGGGTTGTTGTTGTCACTGCAGTGGTGTAACTCTGATTGTAGTCAAAATAACAACACTTCCACTGAAGGTTAGACAGAAACGGCACCAATGGACAACCTGTTTAGGACAGCTCTTTAGACAGCTCTTTAAATGTCAAGTAAATTTTGAGCTTGTTGTGATGTGTTTGTTGACAGTATGAACCATTCCCAACGCTTTATTTGCAATATTAAAAAAGTAGGCAACTGGACTCACCTCAAGTAAATTGAAGACGTTTCGCCTCTCATCCAAGAGGCTTCATCAGTTCTACTGGGGGTGGGGGGTGTCCCATATGTGGCAGGAGTTTCAAAGACCCAGGAGGATCTTTAACACCCATCAGATCCCAGTGCATGTCAAACCCAGCAACACCCTGAGGCAGGAACTTGTCCACCCTAAGGACAGGATTGACAGTCCCAAACCTGTACACTGCGGGAAACGCAGCAGCCATTACACAAGCGTGGGGCTCAACACAGGAGGGCCACAACATCAGGCCAGGACTCAGCAGTCCACCTCCACCTGAAGGAGAAGGGCCGCTCCTTTGATGATCAAAAGGTGGTTTGAGAGAGGGGTGAAGGAAGCCATCCAGGTCAAACTGGAAAGACCATCTTTGAACAGAGGAGGGCGCCTCAGACACCAATTATCACCCATTTAGAAAGCTGTTCTTAATTCTCTCCCCGGGAAGTGCAGGTGTAACTCACACCAACGACCCCGACCCAGAGGGCAGGGAGGGGCAATGATCCACCGTAGGGCCAACCACTCACATGACATTTAACGGCCTTGTTGTTGGGGCCATGGCCACTTTTGTTCGACCCCACACACCTCTTTGGGATGGATAGATAAATACCTTGTTCTATTGTTTTCTTGTTTATTTGTTAGTGTTCCTTTTTGTTACAGAGAGCAGAATTCATATTGATGTAACTGGGCCTAGAATGAGCTCCACCTGTCCTTGGCCACTGGAGCCAGTAACTGCACTTTTGAGCTACATTTAGCTCAACACATCTTCTATACATCTGTGAAAACGCCTGGTGCTTTGTCCTGTCACTGGGCATGATGATTCCAGAGGAGATAAGATTCCACGTGCCCTAGCGAGGTATGTTAACATGTCAGTCTGTTGTTGAGGAGCGCTCACCTGATTTGTCTGAGGCCTTCATAGAAAGCAGTGATTTCAAAGATCAGTTGATTTTTCATTATTTAATACAACTAAATCAAAGTCCTGCTCTGTTCCTTCCAAGGTCGACAGACCAGACCAACAGAACTGAAGAGCCTGTTTATGTAAGAAGTAAGTAATCTATGTAAACAGACTCTTTCTCTGTAACCTGCGGCCACAGCTTAGACCAGTCATGGTCAGCTGAGAAGAAAATTGCACAGAGGCCTCCTCCTTCTCCAGTACAGTGTTGACTGACATGTTTTTCTTACGAGCAGCAGTGACACAAGATCGGTTCCCTACTCTGACATAACTGGTATGAACGTCTGACAGTATCTTTAGTACACATCAGGATTGCATAACAGCCCTCATTTTCCTCTTGTGTCATCAAACATTTCTGTGGTACTTCAAAGTACAGTGTGTAACCTGCAAATACAACCTGGTAAAAATGAAGTAAAAATCAGTCGTCAGGTGATTCCTTTGGACCATATTATTAACAAACCTGTGAAAAGGTTTGCACTAACATTGAGGCCTACAAAGAATTTGTTTCTCGTAGAAAGTTTCCTGGAGTATTGTAGTTTTCTTGTAGTTTTTTTAGTATTCTACATCGCATACAGCAACCATTATTATACTTGTAATGGAACGCCATCATTTTACTGTGTATATTTTTTTAAAACCACATTGAAACTGAATGTATCTGAAAAAATAAATAAAAACACTTTCCTTTCAAAAAAGTTGTAAATGCACATACTGCAAATGCAAAATAAACACACAACGGTCATATAATACAAAGGCATTAACTGTGTTTTTTCATTCTCATGAAATCACCGCATACAGAAGAAATACATTGTGTACTTTCTCGGCGTAAACTACTTATTCTAACAAACAGTACAAGACAGTCATGTGATCTAGCTGCCTGTGAGCTGGAAATGTTGGTTCTGGTTCCTGGTTTGTTCCTCTGCACTGGAAAATCAGCCTGAGAAGCTAATTGACAATGTATGTTCTCAAGAGAAACAGCTTTACAGAAAACAAACACAATGACAATTACAACTGATTTGGTCTAAATTAAGATCACGTTCAACTACTACTACAAAAATCTGTGTTCACAATGACTCATTACCTGGTATAATCTGGTATTTTCTTTAAACCATGTGACACACGGAATCAGAATTTTTCCTGGTTTATAGCATGAACATCAGTGGGTCTAGTTGCGATGTCCTGGCTGGTGGAGAGGGAACGAGTGATGCTGAACTCCGTGACGAATACGGTTCTGGCGTTTGATGCTATTGCGCGACATAAAGTTTGGGTCTATGAAAGGTCTGGTCTTCTGAACACATGTCAACTGCATCATTTCATTCAGGGCTTTGGGCTTGGAGACAAAAGCAGGAACGACTGGGCTGGAACTGCTACTGCCATCTACTGGAGGCTCCGCAGTGGAACAACTGAAACAAACACGTGCAGATATATTTTACAGTAAGTTGTGACATCTTCATCTTTCCAGTTAAAGGATTTTTTCAATTCATTGATTTTCATCAGAGTTCTGATCATGTCTACTGTATGCTCCAATTCACCCAATCCTCAAACTGCAGTTTTTAGACTGTGTGAGAGGAAGAAGAGAACCTGGAGAAAACCCACACTCACAGGAGATTATGCAATCTCCCTACACAAAGACTAGATATAGAACCAGCTGGTCATCTTCTTGCTGTGAGGCAAAAGCAGGCATGGCTGTTCCACTACATAGCCAGAGAGTGCATTGTTCTTTTAAAATTAACTAAAAAAAGAAACCAAACAACCAAACCCTGGGGCAATTACATTACAATCAAGAGACAACGTTTTCTTTCTATAATTGTGTTGGGAGAGTTACAGGGTTAGCATGACAGTCACCCATCAAGCTCAAACATTTTAAATGATTACTGAAAAATAGCTTAATAGATATAAATAATGCTGTGGAGGTACAGTGGGGCTTCAACTAATCTGTTCCATTTTGTTTAAAACATTCAATTTTCATTTTGACTGTTCATTTTTTAATGTATGTGAAATTATAATCAACACCAAAACTATTGTCAGCCATTTACAGCATATTCCTCCACCTTTGGTCAGTTTCCATGTTCACAGCAGTGATCGGTTGGCTGTCAGTCACCTCTGCATCCTGGTTCTCTGGTGGAACTGTTTCTGTGGAGACACAGTGGTACCAATAGTAGTCAAATTCAAAGTCGAAGTCAACGTTATTGTCAAAAATGCCATACATACAGGACATATGGCAGAATTAAATCGCAGTCCTCTTGGACCCATATATTATTCAGTAATTACAGAGAGAATAAACGATGAATGTTCATTATTATAAGCACTTCAATAGTGGACATAACTGGGATTCCTGAGACGAGAAAACATACCTTGATGACTGACAAGTAGCCAGTCTTCTTCCAGCACTTCTCCAGGCTGGACTTCCTCACAAGTCTCTTTCTTTCCACCAAAAATCAGCGAGGTTATGGTTCTGAACATTTTTTTTTTTTTTTGCTGTGGTCCGTTTCCTTTTCACCTGTTGTGGTCGTCTTTGATCCGCAGGAAGTCGATGTTGTCTAACTGCATTAGACAAAAACAACACATCTTTGCACTCTTATTGCATTCTTCTATGTCATGAACTGATCTTTGTTTGCTAACTTCTTCTGTCATATATTAAATTGTGTTGCTGCTTCTTGCTCGAGTACTCGGTCAGTCCATTTGGTATTTTCTCTAAAACCTTTGTAAAACTTTTAGACAAAGTGTAAAAATGAAAAACAACAACAACAAAACAGGCAAAGAAAAATAGTTTTCCAACTCCACTCTGACACATCAAGCTGTCATTTTCACTCCATCCAAAATGCATTCCTGTTTTCTAGATAAAACTGATAAAGTATAGAATAAACAATTATTTTTGTCAAAAAATAAAAATGACTGATGCAGCTGGAGAGACCAGCGCTGTAAATGAAATGACAATCAATGTTTCAAAGAAAATACATTTACGTTTATCGCGTTTTATTTCTATTAAAAGATCATGTTACATTAAATGTATTCATTAATTATTTTTATTGCGATTTAGTCAATGTTTTTGTCTGACAGACAACAAAGCAATCATAGATGACTGCTCTTTACTTCTGTACAAATATTTGGTCTCGTTTTCAGTGGTCTCGCGGTACATCTTCAGTCTGAATCTCACCAATCCCCGGGCTCCTCTGTTATAACATTAATCATCACGTCCTCCTTCAACATCTCTGTCTTGTGGACCTTCTTTTGCTCCAGTCCTTTTCATCTACTGTCCATATACACGTAGCCTATATAAGATTCTTCCAGAATACTGAAAACTGTTTTGCTAGTTTGTTAAGACCGTATGTAGACAATAGAAATAACAGAGAAACCGACTGCTGACTAGAAACATACATTTTCCACAATACAATACAATGTCCGAAAAAACCGGACACAATGACACCCGGTATATCTTATTTTCTTGGCTTATTACAGAATTTTCTTTGCAAATCCTTCTTACCAGCGTGTTATCGTTGGTCGACGTACGGCTGAGATGATGACGTTTCTTTATTTCATTGTTTTTCTGTGATATTCCAATCTATGCTGTTGTTCTCGGTTTTAAAAAATATCCAACCGACCCCCAGACGTCCAAGGCCACGCCCATTCACTAATAATCCACCAATCGGTGACTTCAGAATGAACACGTGGTTTTATTTAACGGGATGCTAAAACTCGGGTGAAACGTCATTGGTGTCCCTAAAAGTTGAGTGCGCATGTACAACTATATTTACGGTGCACAATAACGGAACTGACCGAATTTTACGGTTTTAAAACTAATTAAGAAGAATAACGTAGAAAATACACAATTTGAAGGTTGCTGTTAAATGATGAAATAATTTACTATTCATTACTATTTATATTACATTTTGGCCACATTTCGGCCTACGTGAAGTCCTACTTATTTGTGAAGTTCTCATACACATAATAATCGAGATAAAGCGAGTTAAAAATATCTGGAGTGTTTTTTGTGCTTTTACGACGTTGTATTATATTGAAATGTTATCATTTCGGTTTAATTCAAGCGTCAGAGTGCGTTGTTGTTAGCGTGATTCTTCCTTTATATGTATGTCCTGGTCATTTGAGCACGAATAAACAGACTGCCTTTACAAGAAAGCTTATTGTTTTGTTTTTCGAAGGTGTGGGAAACTGGGGTGTGGAAACCCGGTTCCAGAAGGGGCCAAAAAAAAAAGGAAAAAAAAGAAGTTGCTAAGCAGTTTTGAATATATGGCAAAAAAACAAAGCAGGGTGGTCACTGAAGATGTTGGCCAGAAGATGGCGCACGTTCTTTACAAACGCTCTTGAACTGCTGCGGCAGAGTGTAATAGAGCATCAGTGTTTAATAAAATTGACACTGGACTTAAACAAATCATAGTTCGAAATGATGAATGGATAAAAGACAATTAAATGTTCACACAAAGCTATTCTACAAAAGTTAATTCAATATAATTTGTTATAATTTACAAAATGAAAAGAAGAGTTTTTAGTGCGAAATAGCAGTCAAAAAGTACTTTTAATAATATTTAGAAAGGAAATTCAGGAGAAGAGCCAAGAGAAAACACTGTATGTAACGTCCAAGAGCAGAGACCCTGGTGACTGAGTGGAACCTTTGATTAAACGGTGGGGGTTACGTTAGAAGCCACATTGCTAGTGTGAAAGACATAACTGAAAAGACTGGGGACAGACGACTTAAACCCCCCCCAATTCTTTTGTTACAGGACATCTTAAACACTGCACTGATTCAATCAACATTGATTCTTCATCGTACAAATGTAAGGCGGGGTATTGCTAGTTTGGGAAACAGTGGGAGAATATTTAAATCCAAACCGGTGCTAGTGATGCAGGGCTTTTCAAACTGGACACTTATTTTTTTTAATATTTAAGATTCCGACCTAGGTTTGTTGACATTGTTTCACCTCCAGTTAAGAACCCTTAAACAGAAGAATCCTACCTCTGAATTCTGAACTAACAGTGTGGCTAACTTCACAGACATGTTTCTACACATTCATCATTCTATAGTTATACACAGTACAGGGCACGGTGGGTTCTGTTGTTGGATCTACATCCAAAATTAGAACAAAGAAGAGACGAAAATAAGTATTAAATAAAATGACTTCATTGTGATAATGATGTTGTACTGTATACAGTGTAGTGTAACATGAATATGTGGATGTGTAATCAATGTTTATCTAACAATATGCTAATTATTTGTAACATTCTTATATTAGTGAAAAGTGAGAGGACAAAAAAATATTGACAAACAGCAGCTGACATGGAAGAACACAGTCTTTGGTTGAAAATGTACCTAATGTAAGTGAGTGTGTGTGTAAATGTGTTCCTTCTTCTTCCTCTAGTTCTCTTTCCTCTTCCTGCGCACTTGAGCTGTGAGTGGGCTGGGGGTGGAGGGAGGCGGGCAGAGCCCCGAGGCCGAGCCCACTGCCGCCCGTGACTGTCTATCTCAGAACAGACGCCAGCATTTAGTCATTCTTCATGAATGCCGCGCGTAAAGTCTCTCACACATTGATCCGTTGAAGACCTCTTTAGCCGTGGACCACAGTTGGATCCACTGTATCTCCGAGTTTCCCACGGAGCTCCAGGAACACGACCTCGTTCCACTGTATTTCCCTCTCTCTCCCTCTCTCTCTCTTTTGGCTGCGCGTCGTGGCCGCAGGAAACTTTTACGCACAGATATTTAACACTAAAAAGGACAATGCCTCGGTCTTTCCTGGTCAAAAAATACTTCGCCAAACAAAAGCCAAACTACAGTGAGCTGGAATGTCAGAATGGTGAGTCCAAACGATCTTTTATTCCAATGGTCTGCTTAGGAAACCAGTATTATGTAATGCCAAAGTATGAAATTGAAGAAAACTCTCTAGGAAGACTATCGATAATCAACGTTTATTAAAGTGAAATATTTAAAAGAAACCAAATATTTTCCAAATATACCCTGTACGTGTGTGAAGGGGCTTCTAAATCAGGACGACTCCCTGTTCAAGTCAGGGCCCGTTAGATGCACTTTCCCCTCTTACTGCAGCCACACAGAGAACCATTCATGGTTCTAGCCCCTGTGAATACGTGGGAGGAAACGGCCTGTGAAAACTTCCCATGGCTCCGCTTTTAGTCACAGTACATGTTGGAACAATAAATTCATAATTCACCCAAACATATAATCTTCTAGAGAGCGCAGAGTGAGTGAGCTAAACTGAGAAACAAGACGTCACCTGTGGCCTTTAATCGGTGCCTTCGATACATTAAAGTTACTGCACGTTAAAAGACGTGGGTTTAAGCTTATTATTGTTTTTTAATCGATTCTACATAAACAGTTTCGTCAAAACACCGCATTTTCAGAGTTGCCCTATCAATCTATCTATCATTATAAAGAACTGTATAGACAAAAAAGATTATATAATTAATTAAAGACAAAAACCTAAAATATTTTTTATTTTTATATATATACTAAAACAGATTGTTTAAACCTGATTTATAATATGAACCAGAATGGCCAAATGAGACATTAGTGTTTTTAAAACCTTAGACCTTAGATATTGTTACCGTTACAGAGTATCTTCAACTTTTTGAGTGTAAAAACACTGGGTGTCGTGTTTCTTACAGTGCTGATGAAGATTACCTCCATCCTACTCCATTTAAAATAAAGTTAAAATCAACATGATGTTGACAAGTGGTAAAAGTTATCAGAATCACTTAGTGCTGGGTTAAAATGTAAAGTGTAGTCAACTGTGTAGAAAAAAGGCAGCTGATCAAAAATATTTAAAGTAACTGAGGTTTAGCAAAAATAGCTAAAGGGTTAACATGTAAACACATACTAACAGATACACATATCTGACAAAGGCAACTCTTTAGCTTCACTGGCTAAAGGTTAGCCAGTAAAGCTAAAGAGTTGAAAAGCTAGACAATAGAAAAGATTAGCAATCTGAAAATAAAATATGAGAGACGGAAAAAAAAATTGTTCCGATTTGTCCAGAAACAGAGCCAAAGAGCCGTGCTCACTGTGCAGAGAGACTCAGCTGTTACTGTGTCCTGTTATCTCAGTCATATTTACAAACATGGATGTGTTGACCGTCCCTAATTCCTATATCTGTGTTCTCAGACACCTCACTGGAAAGGTTTCCTCTGGTTGAGCTGTCGGCAGGAGACAACACCTCTGCTGTAACCTGTCTAACAGCAGGTCTGGTGTGGGACCTCAGCGTGCTGCCTGCCCTTTACATGTCCACGTCCCAAGCGGAGCCCTCGGCCACACCAGGACCCCTGGACCTCAGCTCACCATCTAGCCTTAGCAGCAGCGCCAGCAGCAGCGGAGAGGAGGATGAGGGGCGTACGTCGGACCCCCCCAGTCCTGAACCTGTTCGCACGTACGTCCCTCGACAGAGGATGAAATGCACCGGTGTCATGGCTCATGTCAGTCCCCCAGAGGAGGATGAGGAGAGAGAAGCTCCCGTGACAGCAGCAGCGGCGGCG